AATTACTGTATGTAATTGTCACAAAACATCTTTAACACTGGATAGTATATACTGTATATATAATAACAATAATGAGATTTTGAATTGTGTGTGCATGTGAGATGTGTGTGTGTTTTTTCCATAGAAGAAAATTAGCTCCTATGTAAGTTTGAAAAACGTCGGGAACAAAATGCTGTCCGACATCTTGCATTATCTTAAGGCTCTACATAAAAATACAAGTAGATTAGGACAAATAGGATGTCATTTCCTCTAAATTTTGCTTTATCAATATACTGGTCTGGCTACTGAAGAGTTTTGAGGTCCACCTGCGCAAAGGATCCAAGATGGCTGCTGTCCGCCATCTTGAAAATATGCCAAACTGTAATATATCTGGCACTAGATAAGCTAGAAAGACACATGAGGTACCATTTCCCCCTAAATTTGCAATTAGCAATACACTGGAATGGTTAGTGTAGACTTTCAAAATCATACTGACCTATATATCCAAGATAGCCACGATCCGCCATCTTGGAAGACCAAAAAACTATCATATCTCTGGCTCTAAGTAATCTAGGAGGACAAATTGGACATCATTTCTACTAAATTTTTCTTTATCAATACACTGATATGGCTATTGAAGAGTTTCAAAGTCTACCGGAATAATGAATCCAAGATGGCTGCTGTCGGCCATCTTGAAAATATGCAAAACTGTAATATCATGCCACCAGACGAGATAGAGGGGCCGAATGAAATGTAGTTTCCCTTAAATGTTGGCATTAACAATACACTTTAATTATATTTCGTGTTTCTTATAACCTATAAATCCAAGTTGCAAGAATTATCTTATTTTATCTATTTTTGCTTTTGATATTGAAATTGAAATGCGCATAAGCCGATGCTTTCGATTCGCACAAATAAATTCTCCTAGTGGAAAACAGGCTTAAAGCAATATTTCGAGGAATAACATCCTAATTGTCCTTCTAGCTTATTTAGATCCAGAAATATTGCAGTTTTTTGGCTGATAGCGGCCATCATGGATATATACCTATGATTTTAAAACTCTAAATAACCATTCCAATGTATTGGTAAGGCCAAATTTAGGGGAAAATGGCAACTCATTTGTCCTACTCCCAGGTATTCAACCTTTTTAAGCTGGGGGCCAGTTCCAATCTGTTGAGATCATCGGTAGGCAGACATAAATTGTGTACTTCCATTTTCTTTGATGTCAGCCCCACCCATTTTCTTTCATGGAGTGGATTTGAAATAGATGGAGCCAGGAAAGAACTTCCACAAATAAGGGAATATACCAGGTAAAAAAATTTCATGATTTGGTAACTCTAGATGGTCGGAAATGGCACTCTCGGAAAGTAGTGGTGCCTAGGTGGTGTTTCTATAAACAGAAAAACTTTTTCAAAAAATCAGCCAAAAAATGATTTATATTTTAGTAATGTTGTGCCAGACTGGATCAAAATCTTTGGCGGGCCAGAGTTGGCCCGTGGGCTGGGGGTTGAATACAAGGGTTCTAGCTCATCTAGTACCAGATATTATTACATTATTGCATTGCATATATTTTCAAGATGTTGGACAGCAGCCACCTTGGATCCATTGTTCAGGTGGACCTCAAAACCCTTCAATAGCCATGTCAGTATACTGCTAAACCAAAATTTAAAGGAAGTGACATCCTATTAATCTGTCCTTCTAGCTTATGAGAGCCTGAGATTCAGTGCATTTTTGCAGACAGCAGCCATCTTAGATTTATTGGTCAGGATGATTTTTAAATGCTACATTAAACATTCCAGTGTATTGGTAATGTCAAATAGAGTGGAAAATGACAACAAATCCATCAATGTATCTCATCCAAAGCCAGAGATATTTGATTTTTATGATTTTCAAGATGGCATCGGTGGCCATTTTGTTCCCGACATTTTTCAGGTACATAGGAGCTAATTTTTTTCTAATATGGTTCTGGTTGAAAATCCATCGAGAAAAAAAATGTAGGTAGAAAATGGTCACGCAACTCCTTAATATGACTCTACTAGAGGGCGTTTTTCAAATAATTTCTCCTTTATGTGGTATTTTTTTTAAAGTTATCAGTTTTATTATTCTCTCAATTATATAAACTCCAAAAATTTGTTTAGTCTACTACCTGTATACAATCATTTCTGGTCTTATCTGATATCAGAATAATATTTCCTAATAAATATTAAATACTTAAATCAAGAAAACAATAATAGTGCACTTTATTTTATTTTGGATGAAATTAGCAAAGAAGTAAATTAGTATTTTTTAATAAATCAATTTACCAACTTGAGACAAGATATCAGTATCCTCTTGAGAAATAATAAACATTGCTCTTCGCATTTCTGTTGCGAATTCAGTCACATCTCCAATAGACTTTTCAGTACCTTGTTCTCCATCACTGGGTATATTAATTGCAAATGAAAAAGACTCAGGACTACAAGTTGGGTCAGTGGTAGCACTGATGTCATTGGTTAATAGTACAGGCTGTTGCTCCCTAAGGATTGCTGAAAGTTCTGTTTTAATGAAACCACAACTGATTTTATCAATGATTTGTAAATTGTATATCATATCATGTCAAACTTTATAAAATATAGATTAGTCAGAGTGTGGAAAAATAAATCTTATTTAGCAAATTAGCATTTAGGTGGTGGAGCAAAAAAACAAAATTCTAATTATATTGATGAATAAAAAAATGCGAGTGTTTAGTAAAAATGTAGGAGTGGGGGATGTCAATTTTCCTTTGCGTGCCGATTTCATCAACGATGTAAGCGTACAAAGATATTTGGAGTGTTGCTGGCACGTCGAAAAATCAGAATGCAGCAGCACGTACATTGTATGAAAAAAAAAACATTTCTGGGGTGGGGCGCACTTCATCATGGTATGTCCAGTCTCCTGAATTTTAAGTTTCAGGGGTTGGAACATCTGTGTATATTAATTTTAAATCAAAATTTACCGATTTGTTGCTGTATCATTAGGGCAAAACACTGACAGTGTCGTACGACACAGCCCGACTCGATTTGTCGCGTCAGGTCTGTGTTAGTTAAACGCAGAGAGTTTGCGCTGGGGGCAGCTGCGTCATAGAAAATTTGAACATGCTTAATATTTCTCTCTTAAGACTGTCCCTGACGATGAATTACGACGGGCTACGTCGTACAATGCTGTCCAAGTTGGTCTTAAGCCATCAAGTGCTACCACTCATTTAAGCTGTTGCCATAACAAAAAAACAATATACCCCATTGACAGTTTAGTTTTTACATTATCAAAGCATACACAAACCATTTCTTCTTACCACAAAATCCTTTCCATGGTATATGATAACCTCCACTTGAATTCTCAGCTACTAAAGGCTTGAAGTTACGAAACACAGCAAACCGTGCTTGCTGTAAAAGTTCATCATTGACCTTGTTGTTGTCTTTGAGACTCTGTATTAACCGTGCCTTCCGGATGCATGCGGATTGAAATCGTCGCAAATTTGGAAGACTTGATGGTTTCAGAAATGTCTTTTGGCAGAGAAATTGGCATAATTTCATCGACGGAGGTAGCATTGTTGATTTCCTGATGTGATGATAACACTACGGAATGATAAGAAATTCAGTAAATTATAACAAAATTATATTTTATATTTACACCAGGCCTACTACTACTGTAGGAGCCCAGTGCTAATCCATACCTACCAAGTCTTCCGCATCTGGCAGGAGACTCCAGCTTTTTGACTCCATCTCAAGCCCTCTCGCCAGCCGGGGGAGATGGGGGGGGGGTGCTGAGCTGTCCGACAGGGGTTCGTCGGCCTGAGTTGGGGGAAGGGTTTGAGAGGTTGTTCCCCTCCCAACCTCCCAAATAAGATTTTCTTAAAGAATAAGAACCTCTGGATGGCCAGAAATGACACTCTCTGATTGTGACGGACATGTGTTGGCTTGGTGTGGGCCTATTTATATATATTTTTTTGTCCGACTGCCCGATGGAAGGCTTGACCTGTCCGGTGGGGGGGGGGCTTAATCCCTGCTGCACCCCCCCCCCCCCGGTGGCGCTGTCACTGCAAGCCAGCACTTCTCTCAAACTTGCCATTTTTTGTATATAATCGCCCTGTTTTTTGTGATGATTGCATATAGCCTAGGTTACAGTGGGTGTCACCGGCGGAATATTATATTTTCCTAATCGAAAAAACTTATCGTCGCACACCAAAGAGGACTAGGCCTAGGCTAGGGCTACCCTAGCCTAGCTATTGGAGGCCTAGCCTAGGCAGGCTGGCTAGAGTAGGGGACCAGTGTTACAGTAGTATAGTAGAGTAGGGCCTAGGGGCCTAGCCTAGCCAGGCCTCCTAGGTACTAGTAGTCTAGTACTAGTAGCCTAAATATCCAGAAAATCATGTTTTTGTTTGTCTTATTATCAAAATATACATAATACACTAGGTAAGGCCTACCCTTACTTTACAATATCAGCTTCATAGCCTAGCCCTAGGCCTACACTAAATTCACTCCGTGTACGTACGTGTACCTCTGTATATTTCGCCGGCCGCAGGTCACGTAATAGACTAGATTTGTAGCCCCTCTACAGTACAGCATTTTATACTTCCGATTCCGAAAAAGGTTTTTCAGATTCATTTTCATTTTATTTGTCATCCAGTACAGGTTAGTAACAATAAAAACAATAGTACATACAATATTATAAACAATGAATGAGTTGAATAGACGAAAAAAAAAAATGACAGGAAGGTATTTGAACCTGTAATTCAATTCCTGTTACTTTGCTTGCAGAATTTATGACGCCCTTTAATATGATTCTTGCAAGTTTATTTACGTTCGACTGCAGCGTTAATGTATTATACTTTGGTAAAACAAGAATAAGAAATCATTTAATATATTAAAGTTTCCGATTTTCCTCAATAAATGAAGTCGCTGGTTTGATTTTGCATATACAGTAACTTAACTGCGTTTATGTTCCAGCTTAATTCTTGTCTATCCAAACATAAAGACATTTGTACTTTAAATTGCATTATCCTTAATATTAATCGGATCTACAGTTGTATTTTTCTGGAAATCAAACATTACTGCTTTAGTTTTATTGACATTACCAGTAAGGTAATTCCTATCACACCAATCTACCAGTTTCATTTTTTTTTTATTACTACTGATATGTTTTGTTGAGCAAGGCTGGCGTGCGTTACAGTTGCTCTGTGGGGTACGGCTTATTGGAGGTTTTTATACCGAGTCAATAGACACAATGAAGTGGGCAAAAACCAGGTTTTATAAGCATAGAAGAAAAATTATCTGTTTTACTACTACTTGGTTTCCTACAAAAATAATTATATATATATATATCTGTCTCTTATACACATCTTTTCCTAATAAAAGGAAAAAACAGATTTTTTCTACTATGCTTATGGAATCAGATGGAATTCCTGCATCCTAGTTTGTTACGATTGGTGGCTTTGTGTAGCAGGGTGAATGATGCCATTCTTCAAGCATGGGACTCTTCAACCACAACACTCAAAATAATGTCACAAAGGTAACAAAATATTTACTCAGATAAAAGCAAGAAAAAAAGGACTACCATACAATCATGTTCAGATGGAATCAAATTTAATCTCATCAACACAGTTAACCTTAAGTATACTTTAGTAGGTTTAACATAGATTCAGTATATTTACAATTTAAATTAAGTATCTCATTATTAAGACATCATCTTTCATTGAGTAAATAAGTTTTGTTATAAGTATGAGTGGTGCTGGGTAGCGTTGGCGCTGCTCGGTGGTGATGTGTTTATCCGTGCTTAAATGAACTTAAAGTCAAATGAACATGAACAAAATCAATAAAATTATTTAAATTGCCAAGAGCGTAATTGGAGAGGATGTTAAAGAACCAGATGTTGTAGTTAACAATGAAATCAACAACTAATTTAAGGTAATCATGTCAGACACCAACCATTGACTGCACCAATATCTTAAGTTTAGAAGTACAGGTCGCATAATCTATCCGCAGTGGAACATTTCATGATAGTATATGTCCAGTTCTGTGTAGATATCTCCTCTTTCAAGGAGATCCAGTGCCTCTCTCATTTTTTCGAGGTGGTTTTCATAAGCTCTTTGCTTATCTCGCCATCTCACTAGCATTTCTAGATTTGCATCTGTGATCGATGATGCATTATCACACTGAATTTGTGATAATTCAGTATGGTTCATACTAAGGCAGTTACAAAAAGCTTTCCCATCAATCAGCCTTGTGGTGATGAACAGAAGGTCTATGTCAGCCAAGTGACCTGAAAGAATAATATTTAAGACAATATACAGTAAGTTAAATTTCCGCACACGAATAATATAAACGAGCAGTACTGTGTAAAAACAACTTGATTTCTTGCTTCGAGCAAGGTATCCATTCGTAGAGGTCTTATAAAAATAAGACTAATAAGACATACCTCCGACTTTAAATTGACAAAGATAGAAAAATGTTAAATACTGTACAGAAACAATGTATACATACTGTAGAGACCAACCTTATAACATAGTGTAATTTAAAAACAAACTAGTGTGTGTGTAAATTATATACAGTACTCTATTGCCTAATACATTTCTCGATCCAATTAAGGACAACATTTGAGACCAGGGTTTCCATGGTCTTCAGCATCGTTGGTCTGTAGAATAAGGCCAAAAAAAAAAAAAAATTTGTGTTGGCCACGTTTTGGGAAAATCCAAAAAATCGGTAGGTCGGTAGGAAAACTTTGTTTTCGCTTAAAAAGTAGAAAATACACATATAATACAACAATTTTCAATTCGCATCGCTTACCATACACCAAAATAGGCCTTGGCCCCCCTAGCCTAGTCCAAGGCTATTCTAGCCTTATTAGCTCATAAAAAAATATTGTTCCTTGTAGTAAAAAAAAAAAAAATATAAAATGTCGACCCTGAATTTCATAAAATTTGAATCGGTCAGGCATGGCCAACACAATATTTTTTTTTTTATTTTGCCTAATAAAGATAAACAACATTTGTGAATTTGTGACCAAAAAAAGTGGTCTTTAATTGGAGGGTTAACGGAGATTTGTAAAATAAAATTATTATTAAATATATTGCATTATAGCCTATTTGATAGACATGTAAACAGCTCCTAATACTTGAATATTTCCGCAGTAATAATAAATTGAATACAGTACTGACCATAGTATTTATGGTGAGCTTGATGTTCTCTCCTACTAGCTGTGGATGGCAGGTCTTTGAAGATCTGTAAACCAAAGACCTCCTCAGCAAGTGCTCTATGTCCTTGATCCTTCAATGCCAAAGCCATTACAAATTGTTGGTTTGTGTAGTAGGTTTGTTGCTGTCTCCATTCACAGAGCATTCCAATTATGTCTTGTAGGGAAAATCTATAATCCCTCCATATCTGCTGAATTCTCTTCCATTTCAGACCCAGTCTGACGCCCAATTGCATCCCATCCACTCCTATGCCGTTGGCGATACGAACGAGGTGCCCATCGTTCAGGCTCACAGGGATTTTAACTGAAATAAAAATATGATAGTACACTAGTACAATGGAAAAAAAAAGAATAAATAACATGAACCACCTCAGAGTCACCATGTTTGGCATAAATTTTAAGTATAGGCACCTCAAATATGCCACTTTCAGACTGAATAAATTATTTTCAAAGCGGTGTTCCCTAACAAAGTGATTGGCTTCCTACCAGACAGGGGGAATCTTGTTTCCCCTATACCCCCATGACACAGTTTAATTTGTTGCCAAATGTCTGAACATTTTGGTATCATTATAGTATCACTTCAGTAATTGAAAAAAAAGCCCTTCTTAAATATGTGCCTACTCTCTTAAAGAATAGCCTGACAGAAGATAAACGAGAAGGTGAATATTGAGAAATTTTGAGTATTCCTATATGATTGCTCTTATTCAAATCTTTATTATTTTTAATTTAGTTATGAAAATGATAAATTATTATACTTAATCTTATGTAATCAATAATCTTACATCAAGGCGTAACATTAAGAGTCAACTATTTACAAAATGCTTACCACGTAGAAGTAGCAACAGCTGTTTTTTCTGTTCTTCTTTGGTTGAACTGTCGTAATTCCCACATGTATTGTTCATATACAAGTTCACTGGGGTCTGAAGATCCTATAAAAGCAAACCATGAACTAAGTAAATACAAAATTATATATTAGACAATACAAATAAATGCTTTACAAAGTTAAGCATGGGTGCAGATCATGGGGTAGGGGGGGACACTTCCCCACCTCACATAATTTTATGGGGATTAGCAGACCTGAAAATGTCAGGGGTCCTAACACCCCCGGGCCCCCTTGATACATAATATGTATGCAAATAATCAATTTACTCTCTGTATGTATAATAGGCTATTTACTGTAACAAGAATGAGATAAATTTACCTGACCGTTTGTTTTTAAGGGGATGGGGAGAGAACTATGAATTATGAAGAACTTAAAAGTCATTGAAAGATAACTCAGAAGTCAGGAGAGCTATTTATTTATTTATTTTTTTTTTTTGTGGGAGGATTTTTAAAAAGAAATTTTAAACCCCCCTCCTTCAAATTCTGGATCTGCATCTGGACATCCTCTTATATACAGTATTTATTAACCTGCTCCTGAATGGCGTTAATTAGCACCCCCACTTTTTGACTTTTAATAGGTTGAGGCCTATGTATAATGTGTCAGTAAGAATAATGATTTAATAATAATGATAATAATGATTCAATAATTAATAATAAAATATTATTGATGTTTTTTTTCTTTTGTGAATTTCTGATTTTTCAGATTTCAATGTATTTTTCAAATTTCAATGTATTTTAATGTTAATTTTCTCTCCATTTTTGTCTTTTGCTTAATTGATGTTTTAAATTTTTGGGTATGAAACATAAACGTTCAGGGAATATTTGAAGTATCAGATCTGTTGTGAAACAAAATAAATATTTACAGCCATCAATAGGCATATTTGTATTTTAACAAAGCAACTTCTTTGAAGTTATCCTTTTCCAGTATCAGTTTAGAAAAAAGAGGTATTCATGCGAATATCCTGGCCACCAAGAATGGAATTAGTGAGAAAGATGCAGGCAATCAGAAGAACTACAAATTACGTAATTTACTGCATTTAATTTATCACAAGAAAAATTCAACAGTCGCAAACGCTCGCTAGAACTCTGGATCTAGTTTAACGATGTTATTTCAACTTTCATTAGCGGCAGGAAAATTGCTTCTTTTATCTGCGGCTCGACATGAACAAGGCAAATGTCGTTGACGTCGGGACTATTTCAACTTTGCGTAAGAATCATAAAACTGTATGAACCGTAAGAAATTTGGACTTTTACATCGACGAGAAACCAGGCTTTACATCACCACAATTATCATAAACATTGACATTGTGAATACATGACTGCTGTATATATGCCACTAACTTTACCTTATTTCGTAAACTGACATCTGCTCCGGCTTTCAGAAAAGCATTTGTCATGTCCCAGTGAATACGGAATGGGTGGTCCATGGCCAGTAACCAATGGAGCGGGGAATCACCTGCCTGAAAGGCCGAATAAAGAAAGAAAATTTCATTTAATTTCTTATTTCATGAGGTCATTTGCATCAAGTCAATTTTATGCCTTGTTTAGCAATTTTAATATTTCAAAAATAATCAGATACTTTATTAAAAAAGTGCGAAAAAAGTGATTTACATTTTTCAGCAAAATAATGTAGTTGTAATGATAGAACTTCGTTATTCAGTGTTTACAATATAATTGTCCTGTTTTCTATACTGTACCTGGTCCTGCAGATTCACCTGGCTGCATGTCTTATCCAATGCGCAACACAGTGCCTGTGCATAGCCAGATTCAGCAAACAAATGTAGGATACATCGATCATGCTACAAATTAAAAACAAGGAATATGAATAGAGAAAAATACATTTGCAAATAAAACACATTTCAACAGAGAATATTTTTAATAAGCAATTAGTAGAGCTCCACATAGTACAATATAGGAAAATTATTATATGAAGGTTAGATTTAATGCTTGAAAAATATTTCAATGCATTCTTAAATGCATTAAATCTAACCTAAGTATAATAATTTTCCATTTAGTGTATGATGCATGCTCTACTAATTGCTTTATACTGTAAGCCAATCGTCGAGTTTTAATTATATTTTTTATAACCAACTGTTGTAGCAGTCATCGGTTGCTATAGTGATATGATCAGTATACATGTGCGTATTTACATTTAGCTAGCTGTGCGTATGCTTATTTTTACTCCTGCCGTACGCATTTAATTAACTACGAATCAGCAGTACAGTACGGATACGATGAATAACTATTGTGTTAAAAAAAACTTGTTTGTGTGTATAAGAGACAGTTATTGACCTGATACTGAAGGAGCATACCCTAAAAAATGTTCCACATGATTTGTGATTAAACTTAAAAGACACAAAACCTAAAAATGTTTTAGAGTTGGCCGAAATGGACGACACGTTAGTAGCAAATAGGGGTGGGTCTGATTTTTTTACAGTTCGAAATTCATCCCAATAGCCAAAAATGTCAAATCCCTAATCTACCTACGCTCCAAAACAATATGCCAATAAGTATTTTCCGAACAACCCTAATGAGAATTTTAAAATCAACCAAGGGAAACAACCACCTAAATGCTATAACTGTGATGGATTAGGTCATTTTGCCACAACTTGCAAGGCTAGGCCCCTCGATAAACCTAAGCAG